TCATGTAGACCTATACGAGTGTTTGCAGAATTTTATAGATGTTTGTGGCCTGTTCTCCTACATAAATATATCACAAGAGTCCGTTCATCTCCGATTATTCCCTTTGTCTTTGACGGGTGAAGCGAACAAATGGTTGGCTGAGTTACCAAAAAAATCAATCACATCATGGGATGAGCTAACTATGGGATTTAATGTGAGGTTCTTTCCCCCATCGAGGATGATGAAACTCAGAGAAAGCATTAAAGGGTTCAAGTGATTGGAGGATAACCGACCAATGAAACATGGCTGAGGTTTAGTAAGCTACTACTTCAATGGCCAACTCATGGGCTTCTAAACAATGTGATGTTACAATACTTTTATCAAAGTCTTGACTCTTTAAATAAAGGAGTAGCTGATCAATTAATTGAGGTGGAATAATGTTGCAATCATTTGAGGTACCTTTGTTTCTTCTTAATGACATGATGAAAATAAACCAAGCTTGGTATACTAAAAAATATGGAAGTTTCACCTTTTATTTAGAATGACTCAAGAACAACTTGATAAAGAGAGAGAGGGGGATGAGAATACCAAGAAGATGTTATCCCAAATTGAGATGCTACAAATGCAAGTGTCAGAAAATGTGAGCAAACCCAAAGGAGCAAAGCGAGTGGTTAGAGTTGAGGAAGGTTCTTCCTCAAGCTATTCAATGCCAAGGGAGAATCAAGGTTGGAACTTTCATGGATATGAGGAGGGTTTCCACCAATGTTACTTGCAACGTGGTGGGAATCGAGGTTGGAAATCTCACAACGATGAAGAGCGGAGAAGGTACTATCAAGAATGGGCTGAGCTAAGTGATCCTTGGAAAAGAGAGGATGACTATGAAGAGGACCACAGACAGTCGAGTGAGAGCCCCAAGTCAAAGGGGAGTACAAGTAGTCCCCGGGTGGATGATTTTTTGTCTCGCATCCTTGATAAAGTTGAGGGCTCGGATGACTTACTAAAGAGGATGAAAGCCGACTTCTCGTCATTGAACAACATAATGAATTCCCATGCTGATGCAATCAAGCTACTTGAAAGCCAACTGAGCCAACTTTCGGCACAATTGGGGCCAAATTTAATGGGGGAAGACCACACCACATGGATAGCAACTTTGGTGGAGGATGGTGATAGAGATTTGGCTATGGTTACTCGAAGCGGAAAGGTAGCGGTAGGTGATATGAAAGGAAATGCTGAAGCTCAAGCTCATGAAGAAGATAAAGGTATCAAAAAAGAAGAGATGCTCATCCAACAAAGCATTGCCGAAGAGTCACAAAAAGATGTAGAAAAAAGCAATCCAATCTCAAAATTGGCGCAACCTCTCCCAAAAATACCCCCTCCATTTCCCCAACGTCTCAAGAAGAATAGCGAGGATAAAAAGTTCAAGGAGTTCTTATCGTTGTTCAAGACATTATCGATTAGTCTCCCTCTAGATGATACATTGTTGGAGATGCCGGGTTATGCCATGTTTATGAAGGAGTTTTTTCTTTTTTTTTAACGACCCTTGGGTGGGTCAGGGGCTGAGCAGCACCCCCAAGCCTTATCATATATGAAAAAATTTATACAAGGAGGGGGGAAAATACCTTACCTCCAACCTAAGGTGGGACGAGTCGACCTACCTACTAAGGTTAGTCGACTCAACCCAATACAATATGATATATTATTAAACTAAGCACCTAGAGAGGACTCCTCTCTTAATACAAAGTTACTAATAATATATAAATAAGGGAGACTCTCCCCTTATAACATTGAAACTAGTCTTAAACAACTTATATACCTACAAAAGGAATTTAACCAATTTAGGACTAATTGAATCGATTTGGTACACTACTGTATTTCAAACTGTACAGATAGTTCCTGTCAGCTTGAATTCCTTTTACTGATGGAATAACTCTTCAGACATTCAAGGTGGTTGTTTGAGTCGTTTCAACTTCTTTCTTCTGACACTTTGTTCTCCCATTTTCTCTAACAAATAGTTCCCTTTTACTGCTTGAGGCAATTGCTGAGCAGTGTAGTAATGTTGTACAATATCGTGTTTGTGACTGTGTTTGGCCAAGAGGTCTGCTGTACTGTTCGCCTCCCTATAAGTATGAAGACAACCGAAAAAACTGACATTGGTTAGCAAGTATCTGTAAATTCCTGAATATACCTGTGTATCCTCCAAGGGGAATTAGAAACCTACAATAGCCATTTAGTTAGTATATGAAGGAGTTAGGAACAAAGAAAAGAAGCTTGGAATTCAAAACAATTATAGTTTCTCATAGTTGTAGTACAATTATGACTAATGAGATGATAAAAAAGAAAGAGGATCCCGAAGCTTTCACTATCCCTTGCACTATGGACATGCTCTAATTTGCCAAGGCCCTATGTGATTTAGGATCAATCATCAACCTAATGCCATACACAATCTATAAACAACTTGGGTTGGGCTAACAACAATCCACAACAATGAGAATCTTAATGGCAGACCGATCGATTAAACATCCGGTGGGGATACACTATGATATTTTGGTAAAGCTGGACAAATTCATATTTCCAGCGGTTTTTGTCATCCTTTTTTGCGAGATTGATGCTGAAATTCCCATTATTTTAGGAAGAACATTCTTAGCGACACGAAGGGAACTAGTAGATGTGGAAAGCGGAGAATTGATGTTTTGGGTGAACAATGATGAAGTCACCTTTGATGTGTGTAAGACAATGAAGCACCCAATTGACATTCATGTGGTTTCGACAGTTGATATAATTTGTGAGGTGGTGGCTAGTGTGAGCCATTTATTGTGTATAAGTGAACCACTTGACGTGGTGCTTGCAAACTATGATGAGACCGAAGTGCAAGGTTATTATGAGGTGGTAACTGCCATTATGGGATTGGGGGAATGCTCAAGGAATCTAGTAAAGCTAGATATTTATCTGAAAATTTGAAAAAACCCTCCCACAAAACCTTCTACGGTGGAACCACCAAAGATGGAGTTAAAATCACTTCTTGATCATTTGCGATATGCATTTTTGGGTGGCAAACAACACTTTACCGGTTATTATTGTTGCTGACTTTCTCGAATGGCAAGAAAATTTGCTTCTTGAGGTGTTGAGAAAGTACATCAAAGCTATAGGGTGGATGCTAGCTGACATTGTGGGAATTCCACCTGGTATATGCATTAACAAAATTCAACTTGATAGTGAATGCAATTTGAGTGTCGAGTATCAAAGGAGATTGAACCCACTAATACAAGAGGTAGTGAAAAATGAGATCATCAAGTTGTTGGAACCCTATTGCGGATAGCAAATGGGTGAGCCCGATGAAATGTTTAACTAAAAAAGGGGGCATCCCGGTAGTCCCGAATGAGAAAGGATAACAAGTTTGGATGAGACCGGTAACGAGATGGAGGGTTTGCATGGATTACCGCAAGCTAATTCCTGGAAAAAAAAGGATCACTTCCCCATGACCTTCATGGATCAAATGCTTGATCAACTTTTGGAGCGAGGATGGTATTGATTTTTGGATGATTACTCCGGGTATAATCAAATCTCTATTGCACCAGAAGATCAGGATAAGACAACATTCACCTATCCATACAGTACTTTTGCTTTCAAAAGGATGCCCTTCGGGTTGTGTAATGCTCCAGCAACCTTCCAACGTTGGATGTTTTCTATTTTTGATGATATGGTAGAAGATTCATTGGAAGTTTTCATGGATGACTTTTCATTTGTGGGTGATTCTTTTGAAACATGTTTGGCACACTTTGGGCAAGTTCTTCAGAGATATGTGCAAACTAATCTGGTCATAAATTGGGAGAAATATCACTTAATGGTTAGTGAAGGTATAGTTTTGGGTCATAAGGTGTCACAAAAAGGGTTGGAGGTTGATAAAGCGAACATTGAGGTAATTAAGAATTTACCACCACCAATCTCTATAAAAGGCATTCGTAGTTACTTGGGGCATGCAGGGTTCTATAGGAGATTCATCAAAGACTTCTCCAAAATTACACTCCCAATGTGCAAAATATTGGAAAAGGAGGTTAAATTTTACTTTGATGATTCTTGTATGGCAGCCTTTAAGTGTTTGAAAGAAAAATTAATCTCTACTCCAGTTATCATTAGCCCCGATTGGTCAACACCTTCCGAAGTGATGTGTGATGCCAGTGGTACGACCATGGGTGTGGTGTTGGGACAAAAACATTACAAGCTATTCCATCCTATTTACTACGCAAGCAAAACACTGAATGGTGCTCAACGTAACTACACGATTATGGAGCAGGAATTACTTACGGTGGTATATACACTTGAAAATATTTGTGCATATTTGTTAGGCACCAAAGTGGTTGTTCACACTTATCATACAACCTTGCGTTATTTGATGGCGAAGAAAGACGAGAAGCCAAGATTGATAAGGTGGGTATTATTGCTGGAAGAATTTGACTTTAAAGTCAAAGATAGAAGAGGGTGTGAAAATCAAGTGGCTGACCATCTATCTAGGTTAGAAGGCAAGGAGAATGAAGAGCTGGAGGTAGATATCAATGACTTATTTCCTAATAAGCAGGTCCTCTCGGTCACTTTCAAACAAGTTCCTTGGTTTGCTGATTTTGCTAGTTATGTGGTATGTGGATTGATGCCGGAAGGGTTGAACTTCTATCAACAAAAGAAGTTCTATTTTGATGTCAAGAAATACTTTTGGGATGATCCTTACTTATTTAGAGAATGTACAGATCATATCATTGGGCGATGTATACCTGAGGGAGAGTTAAATAATATTATTTATGCTTGTCATGCTTCACCGGTTGGGGGTTATCATAGCGGTGTACGCACAACTGCTAAAATTCTTGAAAGTGGGTACTACTGGCCATCCCTCTATAAAGATGCTGATGAGTTTGTCAAGAATATGTACAATGCCAAAAACAAGGTGGGGGGGGGGAGTGTCCAGAAGAAATGAGTTGCCTCTTCAACGTATTCTGGAGGTTGAGTTATTTGATGCCTGGGGAATAGATTTAATGGGGCCATTCGTGAGCTCATTTGGTAACATGTATATCTTGGTGGCTATGGATTATGTTTCCAAATGGGTAGAAGCGGTGGCACGACCTAACAATGAAGGGAAGAGCATTGTTCAATTTCTAAAACACTACATCTTTGCAGGATTTGTCACCCCTCGAGCTATTATTAGTGATAAAGGGTCGCATTTTTGCAATCGCTTGTTTGCAACTGCATTGAGTAAATATGGCGTGAAACACAAAGTGGCTACACCATATCATCCTCAAACAAGTGGCCCAGTGGAAGTTTTGAACCGCACGATTAAGAGTATACTGTCAAAGATTGTAAATGCAAACAGAATTGATTGCTCTCGAAAGTTAGATGATGCTCTTTGGGCATATCACACTGCTTACAAGACACTAATTGGCATGTCCCCATATCAGTTGGTTTTTAAGAAGCCTTGTCACCTACCAATTGAACTTGAATACAAAGCACTTTGGGCATTAGATATGGATTGGGCCAATGCTTCGAAAGAGAGAGTCTATCAACTAAATAAATTTGGTGAATTAAGGTTTAGGGCATACGAAAGTTTCGCCCTCTACAATGAAAAAATGAAGAAGTCGCATGATTCTAAAATCCTTAGGAGAGAGTTCCAAGTTAGAGATTGGGTGTTGTTGTATAATTCTCGACTGAGACTCTTTATGGGAATACTCAAATCAAAATGGTCAGGACCATATAGAGTAACACATGTGTTCACTAATGGAGCCATTGAAGTCGAAGGCACAGAGGGCCTTCCTTTAAAGTGAATGGGCAACACTTGAAGTTGTATTTTGGAGAATGCCATGAAATTTCCATGATTGAAGTTGTGTATCTGGAAGATGCGTGAGAGAATTTCCACGTCGTTCCACAATGTAAAATAAGGTGTTTCTTGGGAGGCTACCCAAGTGTTAGTTGTTTTGAATAATGCGTGTTGAATGTGAAGGTGTAGGTGATTCTATAGGTAAATGCTCTATTCGGTGATTTGCCGAGGAAGCTCGGCGATCACGAATTTGATCACCTCCATGGCGTCAACAGTTGGCTAAGACACTAGAACATTAGGCAGAATACATGCCCACTTGGTGATTCGCCGAGGTGATTGGGCGACTCGATTTTCACTGCCGTTTGTCACCAATCCTGATAGCCTGAAGTCTTAGCTCTTTTGGTGATATCCCGCATATATTAGTTGACGCGCCGATGTGATTCTCCGAACTTGTTCATGTCCGCCTTCCTTTCCCAAAATGGAGTGGTCACACACTGGAAAATTTGGCGAACTCGATCAGTTTGGTGATTCACCGAACGATCACATGATTGCAACACCCCTTCGCTAGTTGGGCACCTAGTGAAGATTCTTTGTCTCCCTACTCTGTTTATTTAAGTGCCAATAGTTTACCTTTAGTTTTGTTTCTTTTAATATTTGTTCTCTAATCACATCGAGGATACTGCGAATGCTTTTGGTGGGGGTGGTAGGAGTTGAGTTGTTAAGTCTTTTGTTCTCTCGAAAGTTATTCTAGTATCGGCTAAGATCAATACAGATAACTTAAATAGTTCTCTTAATTGAACCAAATGAATGTACGGCTATGATGATGCCAAATGAAGTTTCATAGACTATGTGTGGATCTTTTGCATCTCGTTGTGACTAGCCGGTTATAGATTGAGTCTCTTGTGATGAACATTGCACACTAGCTAGAAAGTGTGGAATCTCATTTTATATTGGCGACAATGCCTTGTGTGATGAGGTTACCTTGAACAATGTGTGTGATGACACCTAGAATTTTCCCCGTTGCTCCACTTGACCAAGTTATGCAAGCACTTGAAATGATCTTAGGCGACAACCTTAAAGAGTAAAACAATTTGAAAATATACCTCTTTTGTGGACAACCTTGTGAGATGTGTGAACCTAGCTTAAACCACCCAGAGCCTTATCCCTTTTCTTGGAAGAAACTTGAACAATTGTAACCTCTATGTATCCATTCACCTATAACTCTCATGAAGTGTGGTTTGTTTGAATAGCCAACTTAGGCCAAAAGCCTAAGTTGGGGGTGTGATGAAAAGAGAAGGTAATTCAAGAAGTGTGAAAATACCCCTTTGAGAATGGTAAAAAAGAATGAACCCCTTTGAGAATGGTAAAAAAGAATGAAGAAGTTCTTAAATAAGTGATAAAAGATTGCATAAGAAATGGGGTGTCCGGTAATTCATAAGAAGTTGAACAATGGGGTGGATTATGAGTTTGTTTGAAATGGTAAAGAAAATGAGAAATGTGACGTTCAGGCCACACTTCATGAGGATAACAACCACTGAACCTAAAAGACCATACCTTACACTCAGCCCAATTACAAGCCTTGGAAAGACCTTTGTGATCTTAGTGAGCTCGAACAAGTGTTGATTGGAAAATAAGGGCAAACCTATGAGTGAAGTCATACATGTGTTCATCTTTGTGAGTGTGAGAGTCGTATGTGATTCCAGAACTCTAAATTGTTGAAAAATTGTGTGGGAATTTGGAATTATCTTTGTTGTGAGGGAATTTGAGTACCTTTGTTGAGCTTGAACTTGAATCTGAAGCAAGTATTGTGAACTTGAGCATCTTTGATAATGGTGAGTCACAATTTGAATCTTTAAGTGCACAATTGGTAATTGCATGAGTAAGTTGAGTCTTGTTGTGTGGATTCATGATAAGTGTTTTGTAGCACTTTTTGACACATCCTTGTTGAACTGCTGAAGTTGAGTTTTGGTTGAGGACAAGCAAAAGTCTATGTTGGGGATGTTGATGAGTCCGAGATTTGGACTCATTTGGAGCTTTGTGTATATAGATTTAGTGTCCTTAAATGCTTAATTTGTGCAATAAATTGATGTTAAATCCGTAATTTTCAGGTACATGGGTTGAGAAACAAAGGAAAGATACTAATATGCAAAAAGGACAACACAAGCTGAAAAAGAGGGAGAAAACAAGCATGACGATAGCCAATAGAACTCGGAGAATTTGCAAAAGAACTCGGTGAGCCATCCCTCCAAACAATCCTTTCATTTGTAAGAGCTGAAGCCTTGTGCTAGTATCATGAAAAACAATGTTTCCCTCAACAGGAGGTAGACGTGTAACCCCGACACCACCCAATTGGATAGGGTCATTAACATCATTTAAATTTCCTATATCATCTTGGTGGCTAACTTGCGTACCATTGCTCTCATTCACACTTATTTCTTCTTATGTTTAACACAGCCAACACAAACACAAAACAATGTAAGTCTATTCAACTACAAAACAAGAAGATCACAATTCAACTTCAATAATAGAATTCAAAAAACCACTCCCCGGCAACAACACCATTTTAATTAACGCTCAGATGACACCACTTCCAATTCTAGGTGTAGACGATCGTATCTAGTATAAAACCCAAAGAAGAGTTGGGGTTAAGCCCACAGGGAGCGGTACAAGTTTGAATTCAGTTATGAAGTTACAAATTGTGTTCTAATGGGTTATAGGAATAGAAATTATTGAAAACATAATGAAAAATCTAAGGGGTTGGCAACGAATGTCAATTGGGGGGTTTGGATTGGCAATTACTAGCTAAAAGAAATACGAAAACAGGGGAAACAACAATATAGAGAGGAATTCTCAGGATGTGATCGATTATAGGCTAATTTCGTTATATGGCTAACTGAAACTACTAACGAATTGCTAAATCTCAGTGGGTAGGCTAGACTATAAGTGTAATAGTTTTCTCTCTAACAACTACTAAGATTTAAGTGATTTATCTCGAACATCAACAAGCTTATCCATATAAACAACCAAAAACCTTAATTCATCTACTCTCTCGAGCTAGATGGGTAGAATCGAGTTTAGGATTTACTCTTTCGAGCTAAACCTATATCAACCCAATAACTACAACCATTAATCAATAACTTTAGTTCTAAAACTTCTTTCTCAAGAATTCCCAGAACTCTAAGTTAGAATTGCATTTGCAACTACAATTCATAGATTAATACATAGCTAATGATTAAATCAACTTTACTTAAGAATTTAAATCAGTAAATTACAATATCCCTAAGCTAATTAAGCCAATAATCACATGATCACACCCCAAGAATTGGGGTCTTAGCTAAACATCATAAAAAGATAAAAATAATTACCAACTAGATTAGCCATCAACGGGATAGAAGTCTCCAAGTCTTTACAATGATCCAAAATGATTCCATTCAAAAACACATTTACAAATCCTCAAAATTAAGCTTAGAAATCTTCAAAGTCTACAATGGGAACTGAGAAACTCAAAGAAAACACTAACTCTCAAACTTGGGGATCAGAACTCCTTCAACTCTATTTTAAATTTCAGTTTATAGTTGCTAAGTGTTTGGCCTGAAAGGCCATTGGAAGAAGTCAGTCGCGCCTTGCCAACCGTTTCGGTGATCCGCCCTTTGCTCCCATCCATCGCCAATTTGCATTGGCCATCTGTCCTCAAAATTCTATAAACTTAGGTGATCAAAGTTGTTGTCATGGAGTGGATCGGCTATCCGCCTACTGGCCATTCATGTCACCAAATTGGTTCTTCCCCAGGGTTAGCACGTTGGAGTTTTTTTTTAGCTAAAAAGCCACTCGGAGGTTCGCCGAGTGGTCTTGGCGATTACCAGAATCGCTTTTCTTCACTTCTTAAGCTTTTTGTTTCTCCTTTATGCCTGGTTGTGTCCTTTCATTGCTCATAGCCTTTAATGATGCAAATCAACAATCTAACATCAGTTTAGAGCATAAATTAGGCATTTGAGGACACTTATACTATCAAAACAAAGCCCTAAATAAGTCAAAATCTCGGACTCATAGGGCACTTAGCCACACTCAGTTATGTCTTTCTTCATGCCAGGCCACCAATAAAGTCATTTCAAATCTTGGTACATCTTTATGACACCCTGATGAATGGAATACCACAAACTATGGGATTCTGTCATTATTTTATGAATCAAGTCATCCACTCAGGGAACACAAACTCTTCCCTTAAAACTGAGCACACCCCTCGCATCAAGATTCGCATCTTGTGCCTTGCCAGACAATGTCTTCTTTCTGAGCTCATTCAAGCCCTCATCCTCAAACTATTTGGCCTTGATTTCCTCAATGAACGTGGGTCTAACCTCAATGCTAGCTAACACCCCACCTTTCTTTGAGATGCCCAACTGCATGAACTTAGACTCCAAAGTCTGGATCTCTTTGGTCAAAGGTCGCTTGGATACACCCAAGGAGCCTAGACTACCCATACTCACCATCTTCTGGCTTAATGCGTTTATCACCACGTTAGCCTTAACCGGATGATATTGGATGGTGACATCATAATCTTTAAGTAGCTCCATCCACCTTCTTTGTCTCAAATTTAGGTCCTTTTGAGTGAATACATGTTTAGACTGAGATGGTTTGTAAACACCTCACACTTACACCATAAAGGAAATGCCGCTAGATCTTAAGGGCAAACACTGCCACTGCCAACTCCAAATCATGTGCCGGGTAGTTCCGCTCATGCACCCTCAACTTTTGCAATGCATAAGCTATGATATTCTTATCATGCATCAACACAACACCCACATGCGAATGTGAAGCATCATAATAAAAAATGAAATCTTTACCTTCGACCGGTAGTGCCAAAATATATGTTGGGGTTAGAAAAATCTTGAGTTTCTGAAAGCTCTCCTCAGTTTTTTCACTCCAATCGAAAGGCATCTCTTTTTTGGTCAGCCTTGTCAGATGCGTAGCGATAGAAGAAAAATTCTTCACAAACTGACTAGCTGGCGA